CACACACACACACACACACACACACACACACACACACACACACACACCACTATTACTAAGCTTGTACTTGCTCTTACTTTGTATTGTAGAATCCACTGTGCATATGTGAAATATGCCCAAACAATGAGTACAGTATCTAGTGACAGCTTAAGTGAAGACTGGTCAAAAGTACAGAGAGCTAAAAATTAGTAATATTTACAACTGAATGTAGCTGCTTTTTTTTTTTTCAACTTACCTGCTGTTTGCCAGTCCGTAGGTTACGTTTCTTCAAGCCTGTACCCATAAGGAAATCATTAGATCTTGTTTTTCTTTTAGCCAAGATGGATATTGGTTAGGGAGAAGTTAAAGAAAAATACATCACTGGCAGGAATCCTCAGTGGGGTTTGAACTTCAAACCTTCTCCTGCAGGGCACTTGAAAAATTTGTTACCTAATGGTTAAGTCCTGGGTTCAAGGGAAATTCCAAAAGATCCATTAAGGCCTTTGAGTTTCATGTCATGCTGCTTTTTTTTAACAGCTTTTGAAGCCTTTACTTGAGGGAAGGAGTAACTTACAATGCCTTCTCCCTTAGTCTTTGGTTTTACTGCAAATCACAGGAATAAAGTGGAATGTAGCATTAGGGTCTAGTGTCTTTGATGGCCTCATCATCTAATCATAGGTTTAACATTACTCATTTGCTGGCTCCAGGAATTCCTGCCATTAAGGGCCCTAGAGATGAAACTTTGCCTCAAATATTGATTGAAAGGAAGAGTGAGAAATTTAAGCTCTTTCTGCAATGCTTTTTCTTTAGACTTCTTAGTGAAGCTATTAACAAATGTAGCTAAATCAATTTGCTATTTTTATGTATTTTAGAAAAGTTATTTAATGATTCAAAATATATAACTGTCCAGTTTTTAAAGGTGAAAAAGGATGTACACAGATTTAGAAAAATTAGAATTATTTATTCAGTTTCTATTTTACCAAAAATTGTAATGCTTTTGTTTAAACAAGCTTTCTTCTCTCTACCCAATCACCCACATAAAGAAGAGTTTTTACTGTGTGTCCCCCAAACCTGACATTTCTGAGCATTTAAGGATTGTTCCCTTTGCATCCCTATTAAGAAGATTTAGAACCCCATTGTCACTAGGCAATTCTGAGATTGCTGTTGTAACATTACATTGTTGCCTTCTGACAGACTGGTATGAAATGTTCCAATAGGAATTGGTCAACAGGGGGTTCTAATGTAGAGGTGCAACTCTTCTCCCTTCTTCTTTATCAAGCCTGAATATATTACTTCTACAATGAATCTAACCAGCATGGTCCCAGAACACTGTATGATACCAAGTAGTGCCACCAGACTTGCAGTCCCAATATTTTATATAAAGTAATTTAATAAACTTGCTTTTCTGTTTAATTTTAAAACTAGCTGTCAAAAAGGTATGCTAAATAAATATTAAATAATTTGAATATGAAGAAAATAGTTGAAAATATTGGCTAAGAGGAGAGAGACTTTGAGAAACTACATATATGGAGATAGTGTGGTTCTCTGTGTAGGCCACAAAACTGGGAGTCGGGAGACTTGGGTTCCATTCTTAATGCTGCCACTGATTTTTATATTAAATGAAGATAATGATACCTGCCCTTCTCCATAAGATGATTTGAGAAATACAGATTGGAAGCGCTATATGTTTTCTGTACTTTTTAAATATTTATGTTGTAACTATGGCTTTTTTGATAACATGAGCAAATCTTTATTTAAAATGGGTGTTCAAAATGTATTACATTCTCCCAATTACTTGTAGAAGTTTTCAAAGTGTGTATTTTTGTCTTTCAAAAGACAGATGATGATCTAGAAATCTTTGAAAAGTAAGATTTTGTTTGCATAGAACAGGGTAACTTTAGACATTGAAAAAGGAAAGGGAAATGCAAAGTTTGTTTTCCTTTCATTTGCTACAGCAAATTAGATGCTTTTATACTCTTTATGTTAGAAATTCCATGTTAACGACTACAGATTAGCGAGGATGTCAGAATTTTTTTTCTTATCTGAGCTCCTGAATAAACTTAACATTGCCAGTGGCTCACGTCCAAGGAATGGACTAAATTTACATGAAATATCACATTACAAATGTCTGAAGGTACATGTCATGGATAATTCATTTCATATGGGTAGCCTTTTAGACTGAAGGATATGCAATCAAGTCCATTCCCCCAAAGGAATTTTGAGTCTCTGTGAAAAATACATTTTAAGCTTTAAGGAACTTCTATAGGTATAGTGCATCATTTGGTTTTAATAATTGTTTTCTCTTCTCTATATATTTGGTATATCTTTCTCTATTTTTTTTCTTTTAACAAGCCATAACAACACCAATTTCATTAGACTAAAAACTAAATTAATTTTAGGTTTATTTTCTTTTTATATTTACACAGAACACAAATGGTTCTTCAAATATTTTTTTTTCTGGAAAATTGGTAATATGTAATGACTTGCATGTTATATAAAGCAGGCATCCTCATGCTGACTGCAGTATATTTTCTTGTAAAAATGATGAAGATGTGTTATTTTTGACAAGATCTGTGCTTGATTATAGTCTTTGTTCCCCATAGCCTAGTGCTATATGTCACAGCTGTGATGCTGCTTTGAGTGGCAGATTTCTCAAACCATGCAATTTTTTAAAAAAGTGCTTCACATTAGTTTTTTCATTATATTTTCTTCTTTGATATGTAGCAGATTTAGATTTCAATATTTTTTCCAATCTTTTTTCAATACTACAATAGCTTCTAATTATTCCCAGATTTCTTTTAAAGTTTCCCCTCTTCAGAGGTACAGCTTCTGCATAAATTGAGTGATTTTATCCCATAGGATTCTTCAAGTTTTTATAATAAAGCCTTATCAGATATCACTTACATTTTTCTGTACCTTATCTGTCAACAAGAGAGGTTTATTTTCTTAAATACTAAGACATTCTTTTTTATTTAAAATACATTACTAATTAACCTGTTTAAAAGTATAAAGTAACAAATTGAAATTCTTAATAACTAGCAAACTTCAAATATTTGGCAGTTTTGAAGTTATGTTTCATTTATTCTCCTGATTAACTAAAAGGGATTTTTCCCACTGTGCTTTAAGTTTAATCAGGATCATAACCCAAGGGTCTGCAAAGGAAGCATTTTAAGAGCAACTAGTGTTGCAAGGAAAAGATCTGTTCCTGATTCCTTTTCTTAAGGAAAGACTTGGATTTTTGACATTACACATTGCATATAAGATCTCCCAAGAGACGCCATCTGGGGAATTATGAGGGAAATTTCACATATAAGGAGCAAAAATGATGTACTTATAATTAACAAATAAAACTTCTTATGAGACTCTCATAGAGATGAGAACATTTCAAAACTTCAGTCTTGCAGTACAGGTGTAAATAGGTTTTGAAAATAGTTTTTGAGAAGCTGTGGCACTGTAAATGGTTTACAAAAATGAAATTTTGCCAGATTACGTTGATAGTGTTAGAGAGAGAATTACAGAATTAGTGGACAAATTGAATGTAGCAAACACTGGAGTGAATGTACAGTAAAGCAGATATGGTTTTCAGTTCATTATGGTTTCAAAAGTCAAAATAATATTGGGCAGTGTACACAAAGTGGATTGGAGAATGTATAGCCACTCTCTAGGACTATGGTGAGATCTCACTTAGAATACTATGTTTATCTGTGGTCATTTTAACACTAAAAGATGTAGGAAGGTTGGAGGAAATGTATATAAAAACAACAAAAATTCTTAAGTAAGAATGATTGATGTAGGGCTTTGGCTATTCAAAAAAGCTGCATTGGTTTTATTCAGGTATCAGTTAAACTGATTTAGTTAAATGGTGCAAATCTTGGTGTGGACACTCTTATTTCAGTTTTAGAGTGGTTTATTTTGGTTTAGCTTAAGTCAGTTAGGAACAGGTTTAAGATAAACCTAGGTAAGCCAGTCTTAAAGCAAAATTAGAGTGTCCAC